GGGACCGGATGATGCCCTTGGCCTCCTGGGATCCGGGGAGGAGGCGCAGTGCGTCTCGCTCTTTGGCCCGGGATCCCAGCTGGCCCTTTGACTCAAGGCGGGTGCGTGGGCCCCCAAATCTTAAACCCTGAACTTCCTTGGCACTTTCACTTCTGCGCTGAAGTGCTTGCATGAGTTGTGCTCCTCTTCACTTGATATGAGAGCCCAAATACTGAAAGACCTCAGAGATCTCCGAAAATTAGGGTTTAGGGTTTAGGATTTAGGGTTTCAGGTGGGGGGGGGGGGTCTTTCTAGTGGGATGTTGTTACTAGTATGTTTGAGGGCATAGAGGGACGAATGTTTAGGACTTTTCAACGGAGCTGGCTCTTAAGCCCCTGCAATGAAGCGATAGTTCAACTTTAACCCTTAAACCCTAAACCTTAAACTCTATGAACCTTAAGCACCCTAAACCTTAAACCCTCCCTCCCTATACAACTTCCCTAATAAGCTTCAGCCGGGCCCACGATCCTAAACTCCCAACTCCTAGTCTTCGTTTTCGCGGCCCTGATCCTCTTCGGAGCCGTGTTCGCCGTTCTGACGCTGCTCAGGCGAGGTCAAGGGTGGCTTCAGGGTTGAGGGTTTTGTCAAGGTTTACCAGGATGGGCTATTAGGCCCTAGAATCCCCGCAATCAACCCTGGATAGAGCCTTTGTCAAAGAGGGGTTACAGGGTATAGTAGCCGTCCTGGTACGGCTTGACTTTACACTTGCAGATTGGTCGAGAACGGCAACCTCTTGGGAACAACTGACGGGTACGGGCGGGGGCGCGGGCGTAGTCGAGGGGCTGCCTTTGGCATGCTTTGCCGCGTCGCGGCGCTGTATCACTAAACCCTGAACCCTAAACCCTAAACTCTAAACCCTAAACCCTAAACCCTAAGCCCTAAACCCTAAATCAAAAACCCTAAACCCTAAACCCAAAAACCCTAAACCCTAACACCAAAATGTGCATTCAAGCTGAGGCTGCCTTGAGAAGCGGTGTGCCTCATGTGTTCCCTTGCCCCTGCCAACCTCCCAAAACCCTACAGGTTAGGGTTTAAGGTTTAGGGTTTAGGGTTTGGAGTTTAGGGTTCAGGCAGAAACCTTGGCAGGGATTCCACTCGCATCGGGCATAGATGACCCTAATTGTAGGGTTCTCTTGCCCCCCCCCCCCCCTTTAACCAAGCGATAAGCAAGCGCCCTGAACCCTAAACCCTAAACCTAAACCCTAAACCCTAAACCCTAAACGCCCCTGCCACAGATTCCTGTGTCTGGGGCTGTTCTCGGCCCGCAGCCCAGGCAGGGGCTTCACATGTTGACTTGATTCCGTGCTCTAGGGTGCAAGGCCGAATATTCCGACTATTCTTAATATTCCCAATATCCCAATATTCCGAATATAAGATAGGTTACGATATACTGATATAACATAATTAAGACCCTAAACCACATGTTCTCTTTGGTCTAGTTCCAGGGGGGTCGGCAGGCTGCTCTCTTCAAATTGGGGTCCGAGGGCAACAGCTGTTATTCTCTTGAGCATGAGGATCGGATAGCTGCATATTGCGGCGACCTCTGCTAGGCAACTGTACATTTTCCCTGGGCTTAGGAGGATCATGTTTAGGAACTTTTTTTTCTTCAGAGGCTCTTTAAGGGCAATCCTAGTTCTACATTTATATTCTTTGTAGTCTGGGCTATTCAAAGTCATGCAGCAGGGCCCTTTGGCCTGGGCGCTGCAAAATGAAAAACCCCTTTCTCAAAGTCACCCTCGAGACGATGTCTCGTTGTTTTGTCGGCAGAGCATTGTGCCTTGCCCGCAAGCCCTAAGCCCCAAACCATAAACCCCAAACCCTAAACCCCAAACCCTAAACCCCAAACCCTAAACCCCAAACACCATGAACCCCAGACCCTAAACCCCAAACCCTACAGGGTGGGGCCCCCTTACTATACTAACTGTAGTTACGGGACTTATAACCTAACTTAGGGTCCTTATAACCCAATTTAGGGCCCTTATAACTCTACTTATAACTAGGGGGCCCCACCCTGTAGACCCTTGTCCCCTGCCGATGCTTTGGTCCCTTCCAAAACAACCAACCAAAGCCGTGACTTCACAACGAAGACCAGGGCCTTGCCTTGGAAGATTTGGACCTGAACTGCCACCGAAATTCTAGGGTGCACATGGTCACTTCTCTAGAATACGGTCACCTTTCGGGTGTCCTAATTCTAAGCCGGCCTTCCACTTATTTACAGAGCCCAAAATGGGACCGCAATCTAGAGAACTGAAACCCGAAACCCTAAACCCCAAACCCTAAACCCTAAACCAAATACATGTACAAAAGAGGGGGGTCGAGGGTTGGCTGTAGGCTGGGGTCCGTATGGAGTTCGAAACGTTTCAAGCACACCTTATAAACCCTAAATTTTCATGGGGGTTTCTGAATGTGTGTGTGTGTGTGTGTGTGTGGTCGACCAGGGTGCGCTCGGCCTTGTTACAACGCAGCAGCCCCTCCAGCGCGAAGGCTTAAAGGGCCAACCGCGGCCCCCTCATCCATGCGTGTTTGCATCACCCAGATCTCCACGGGCCCGCCCCCCCAAACCAGAAAGAGCAAGATACGCTCAATCCGGCAAGGGTTGGATAGAAAGAACACTTGGCAAGACAGCCCGCATCAACGATCCAAAGCTCTTCTCATGGCGATCCCTCGCCAGGATACTAAGCAAGGGATGCAAGCACGGAGACAGGGCAATCTAGTTACTCTAGGGTCCACCACACTCACGCACATCACGCACCGGCAGCACGTTAGGGGCCACCTCCACCAAATGGCACAAGGAACCATTCCCCTCAAGCTGCACACTTCACTGACAATCAATATGCCCTTGGCGTATGGGTGAGCACCCAAAACTTTAGGTGCCCCCCTGGAATGGGGGTTTCTGAAATTAGCGGTTGGGGGGTCCCTTTCAGGGGGTTCTATTCCCTATTTATTTTGGGAATACCCACATGTTGGGAGGTTCCAGCCCTTTAGGCGCCACCTCAGAACTTAGGCCAGAGACGCGCGAGGGCCCAGGGTTTAGGGTGTATAGGGGTTCACTTAAGGGTTTGGGTAGGAGGGAGGGACAGTCCGCAAAATCTTGAAATTTCGAACGGCATCCGATGTATCCTTAAGCTCCGACGCCTGCCCATACAAGAGCTCGAAGCCTTTCGAGAGCCATAAACCCTACACCCGAAGTTAGCCCACACGACACGAACTGATCCCTGCGAACCTACGCTACAGACTCTTAAGCTCCGTGAGCCACCGCCTAAAGCGCTAAGCCCCGTAAACCTTAGAAACCCTTACTCAACCCTATAAACCATAAACACTCTAAACCCTTGAAACCCTATCAAAACGTAAGCTCCCCCTCTCTACAACTTGCTTAAGAACCCCGAAAAAATAGAAATATTCTTCCGTACTAAGGGCAAGATAGGGATAATTGTTTGTTTATTATTCTTTTGGGGTTCTTAAGCAAATAGTAGCCCTAAACCCTAAACCCTAAACCCTAAACCCTAAACCCTAAACCCTAAACCCCTCTGTTTCAGGAGTACTGCAGCACTGCTTGGAGCATCGGAGACGGGCGAAGGTTCACAACTACTCCGTCCCAGGCAACACGTCGGAGACCCCAGAGTTGCCCTTTCATTCCCCTAAGGGTCCAGGTACCTATGTTTAGGGTTTAGGGTTTAGGGTTTAGGGTTTAGGGTTTAGGGTTTAGGGTTTAGGGTTTAGGGTTTAGGGCTATACGGTCTATACTTGGCCCGAAAGCTGCTATATATGGTAGCCCCTTTCAGGGTCAAGTATACACTAGAATAGGTACGGGGACCCTGACGGCTAGTTCCTGGTGGGGAATTTAGATGCCCAATAGGTACCCGGTGTAACCCAAAAATAGTTATAGATGGGGAATGAAAGGTAGGTGCCTGATTTCCCAAAATTCTACCTAGAACTCGAAAGTTGTGTTTTTCTTGGGCATTGGGGCATTTTGTGGTGTACGGTGTTTGCGGCTTGTAGGTTGAAGAACTTCAGGGTGTTTCGGGTTCATGAAAGCTTGTAAGGTTTAGGCTTCTCGCACTTAGGCACTTAGTCCTACTTAATCCCCATGTCCTTGTGGCGACGCTTGCGATTGGGAGCAGAGTCTGGACATTGCGATGTCCCCAGGCCCTGAACCCTAACCCCTAAACCCTAAACCCTAAACCCTAAACCCTAAACCCTAAACCCTAAACCCTAAACCCTACGAAGGTGCATGGCCTCTGGCTGCCAATCCCTAAAGCTAAGCCTCAAACCTACAACCTACCTGCCCACATGCGGGTTTCTCCGACATTGGGGTCTTGTTGGGGTCCTTGTTATAAGGGAATCCTACTATTGGGGGTCTATATTGGGGGGGGGGTCCCCTACTTTCGTAAAACCCCACATGTGCTGGCCTTGTGGCATATACCCGAAGTACCCTAATTAAGTACCCAGCTCCTGAAAAAGTCGGCGACGTGCAAGGTTTTTCCCTTTGCATGCGACCGATGTCCAGAGGCCCAGCAGCTTTACTTGTAAGTCGGTGGAGACAGCAAATCTGTTCGCCCGTTCCCGTTTTGGTAGTGGTCAACACAAGAGGCACTACCAGAATTACAGCAGCTCTTCTACTGTCCTTTCTAAGCACTGCGACTGCAAACAGGAGACATCCTAACACATCTGTTGGTTCAGGACAGGAGATGCAGCTTTCCTGTGTGTGCTTAGATCCCTGCGCACGGGGCTGACACAAGTCATCAGCTTTTTGGTACCCGACATGTACCATAAGCAGTATACTGTAACGGAGAGACCCAAAAGCGCCCTAAATGTTGAATCAATGCTTCTGCTGCTGCCAGGTATAACTTTTCAGATTTATGGTTTATAGGATTCGGGGTTAAAGGAAAACGCCCATTAGATTCCACCATCAGGTCGAATGAGTGGCTCGGTGAAGCCTCATCTTATCTTTTTGCCTTGGTATGTTGGTATGGGGCATGAGCGTCCTTGTTTTCTGGTGTCAGTTGCAAGGATTTCTTGTGGTACTCAGCATCCTCAACATCACAGCACAAAAAAGTGCGGAGCTGCATCCAGTGATCGTGAGCGGGACATCCTCCCATCTTACGCCTCAAAGCGTCGTCTAGCAGACTACACACCAGTGAGATGCTTCTGGTCACCTTGGGTATACAGGGTGCTGAAAGAGAGAGAGAGAGAGAGAGAGAGAGAGAGAGAGAGCGAGAGAGATAGAGAAAAACAACAGAGGGAGAGGGAGGGAGAGAGAGAGAGAGAGAGAGCGAGAGCAAGAGACAGAGAGAGAGAGAGAGAGAGAGCGAGAGAGAGCGAGCCGGCACAGTGGATGAACTGGGAACCACATGAGTATACGGGTGTAGTTCACGCATGGTTGGGAGGTGGATGGTTCCCAGGCAATCCAGAGGGCTCGACGTGGTGGCTCTCACAAACTGACTCGGTACTGCTCGCCTTCGGGCGGCCCTTCCTCTACGGGGGGGAGGTCACGAGCGCAGGAAGGAAGGAAGAGAGAGAGAGAGAGAGAGCAGAGAGAGAGCAGAGAGAGAGCAGAGAGAGAGAGAAAGAGAGAAAGCAGAGAGAGAGAGAAAGCAGAGAGAGAGAGAGAGGGAGCGAGAGAGAGCAAGAGAGAGAGAGGCCGAGAGAGAAATGCCATACATAAGCAGCATTATAAACACCCGTGCGCCGATTGGTCGACACCCCCTCCTCACCCACAGCTCCCCAGACCCTACTCCCGTGCACCCGTGTATCCCTACAACCCTAAACCCCTCAACTCGAAGCCCTAAACCCTAAACCCTAAACCCCAAACCCCAAACCCTAAACCCTAAACCCTACCCCTATCGCAGGGAAAATATTTCGGGCCTGGCCACGGTCTTGTACTTCCGACACCTGGAATTCCAGGCCATTGGTTCAAGAGGTCCTTTGAGGGGTTTTGGGTTTTGGGTTTAGGGGTTTAGGGTTTAGGGTTTAGGGTCCAGGGTCCAGGGTATAGCGATGGCTGGGTTTAGGGCGTAACTCGTCTTGAGCTTCTTGGGGTTTAGGTTTAAAGGGCCCGACGGCCGTAGGGACAGTCGAGTCTGATTTCTGCCTGCCTTCATGGGCTATTATACCCTAGAACCCCTTAACAAGGCCCTTTATAGGGTTGGTTAGGGGATTATAAGGCCTAATAGCCATGCTGGTGTGCCGATCATGGTTGTTGTCTGTGTCGCTCGACTGGCGATGCATCACCACGAGAAGGAGGAGTCAAAGCATCGGCTTCCTCGCATTCCCTTCGATGGTTTTAGGGCTGCAAGGGCATAGGGTTTGGATTCGTGCTGCCTTTTAAGACTGTTCGTGCTACGGCTTCGTCTTCAAGTGTGCTTGGCACATCTTCGGATTGAGTTTCTTGTAGGGTGCGAAGTTGAGCCGGAGACGCAATCCCAAATCTTCACTTCAAGGTGCGTTTCGAAGACAGGTAGGCAGAGATGGCCTTTCGATTTTCGTTGCGCGTGACTGACTGAGGCGTGGTAATTGAAGCCGTTAGCCCCACAACTGTTCTTTGATGTCCTTTTGCAGCGGCTGCAGGCGCGGCTTAGCCCAGAGCTTAGTGCAGCTGCATCAGTCCTCTGTATGATGTCTGAGACCGCTCTAGCAGTGTTCTCATGAGTCGCCAAGAGCAAAGTCGTGCCGCTGAGGTTTCTTGCTGATTGCGCTGTCGCTGGCAGGTACCTTCATGGGCTAGTATACCCTATAACCCCTTAAAAAGGCCCTTTATAGGGTTGGTTAGGGGAATATAAGGCCTAATAGCCCATGCTGGTACCCATAGCAGATGTCATCCAAGAGTGGCAGCCAAGGCATGAAGGCTTGAACAGCCCTAAACCCTAAACCCTAAACCCTAAACCCTAAACCCTAAACCCTAAACCCTCTAGGCAAGGATCATGAAGGCATGAACACCCCCGGAGCAGTCTAGGCTACTTCCTGCCTGAGCTGACCAAAGAAAGCGCCTTTTTGCCTCGACTCATACCACCAGAACAACTTGGCCGTGGTCCCAGCCTTTAGCCAGATGGGTTTGGGACCTCAAAAGATTGTTCGGACATATTTCGACTCAGGCCATTCGCTGTGATTCGTTTACACGGAACTTGTAGGCATCAGCAAACTCTGGGAACCCTAAACCCCAAACCTTAAACCCTAAACCCTAAACCGGGAAGCTCTGGGATGGTGTCGTACCGGAGACCGGAGTTCGAGGTTTGGCGAAGCAGTTCTATGCTGTCGCCGTCTATGCTCGGCACCCCGGAGTGTCTGCATTGGGCTTGGGCTTGAGGTATTAGCTTGGTAGCCCAGTGGTAGCTTTTCCCTTTTTTTGGCTTGGGTTCCCTTACAAAGTAACCAGCCAAAAAAAGGGTGCCCTTATTATAATATGGTTACTGTATTGGGCTACCAAGTTAGTGTTACTTGGGGGAATACTTGGGGTACTTGGAAACAATTTTGAAGATTTGGTATACTAGACTCCCTGAGGAACAGCTAAAGTTACAGTTTTGCAAGGGTGCCAAGTTCAGTTTAGATTCTCGGGCTTCGGTTCCAGGCTTCCAGGGTGAAGGATGCACCGTAAATGCCACCTACGGGGCAGACTATCGGGGCGGAATAATGACTAATAGTATTCCCTTATAGTCCCTTTATAAGTATACTATACTAACCCCTAAAACCCTAGTCTAATTGGTAAGGCCCCTGGTTTAGGGCGCGACTGGAGGTCCTTTGCTTCCTCGCTGTGGTGCGGTGGATCTGGACGCAGGGGCGTGCTGCCCGTGCTGAGAATGAAGAGGCCTGGCACTGTTGCGGGCTTCGTGAGGTATGGTGTGCATGGCCTGGTTTGGTATTGTGCATGGTGCGGTCTGGTGTTATGTTGTGTACTCGTGTAGCGTATACAGTATAGGCTACGCGCAATAGCCGTCCATGCTTCAGCAAAGAGCACCCCATCGCCGAACCCTCCACCCGAAACCACAAAAAGCAGACGGACTGAAAAATTTGGAGTTCGGTTCCCTATCTTGTCCCTTTTAGTTCCTTATAGGGCTACTTATGGGTACCTAATTCCCTCTTTCCCTACGAAGAACCAGTAAGTGGACGTGAATCCGGCGGCGCTGCCGGTACTTGGCTCACGCTCGGCGTATTGTGGAGATATCAGACTTTGCGAGTGGATGTGTGGGTGGTGCTTGTTGGTGTCTTGCGCCCTCATGGTCTAAGTAGCACCCTGAAGCACTAAACCGCCCAAGGAAAGACCGACTTCCCTAAAGGCTTAAGGCTTAAAACTTGGAGTTTTATGTACTACTATTTGCTTAAGAAGACCCCCAAGATGAACAAGATGTTCTTCCTTATAAAGGAAATATGTTTTTGTTTATTGTTATTATTTGTTTATTGCTTTTAAATTGGCGGGTCTTAAGCAAATAGTAGTTTAGGGTCTCAAGTTTATAGCGTTTGGGGTCGGAACCCCGGTCCGCGCGCAGTTGCCGCACATTTCGGACTACGCGTTGATGGCCGAGGGCTTTCCAAAGTCCTGTTCTGAGACATCCCAGGGGCAAGCTTCCGCCTTGGGGGGGGGGGGGGGGTTGAGGGTTGAGGGTTGAGGGTTGAGAGTTGTGGGTTTAGGGTTTAGGGTTTAGGGTTTAGGGTTTAGGGTGATGATACAACGACCCCATACCATGATTGCTAGGTTACTGAGGGATGACCGGCTACCTCCTTGTGCCGTGTAGTCTCAGTACAAAGGCACTGTGCGAGAGTTGCCTCCATGTTCCCCTGTTGCTGTAGAAACAGAAACCATGGGACTTGACCACCCTAAATACTAAACCCCAAACCCCAAACCCCAAACCCCAAACCCCAAACCCCAAACCCCAAACCCCAAACCCCAAACCCCAAACCCCAAACCCCAAACCCTAAACCCTAAACCCTAACCCTAAACCCTAAACCCTAAACTCAACCCTGAACTGAACCCTCAACCGAAACTTGGATCCTGAACCGTGGGCTTCTCGACAATCCGTTCTCATCTCCCCCTTTCCGCACCCAGCCCCAAGACCACACTGGGAGGAGGTCCTAAACCCTAAGCGCTGAGCCCTGAGCCCTAAACCCTAAACCCTATACCCTATAAACCCTAAACCCTAAACCCTATAAACCCTAAACCCCAAACCCGAAACCCTAAACCCTAAACCCTAACCCTAAACCCTAAACCCTAAACCCTAAACCCTACTCAACCCGTATCAGCCCTGAAGTCCTGAAGCCCTGATACTCGCTGCCTGGCAGCGTCTTCGTCAGGGTTCTGGGAGCTCGGATCTATCCTCCTGAACCCTAAACCCTGAACCCTAAACCCTAAACCCTGAAACCTTGAACCTTTTGAGGGATCACACAGGATAGCTCATTCACGGCTTAGACTCCCTGAACCCTGAACCCTCAAGCCGCCTCCTGAAGTTTAGGGTTTGGGCTTTAGGCTTCCGGGTTTGGGGTCTAGGATTTAAAGGCTCAGGGTTTGAAAGCTGAGGTCTGCACGCTCTCCTCATGAGGCCCCATGTGGCAAGCCCAGGGTTGAGGGTTCAGGGTTTAGGGTTCAGGGTTTAGGGGTTAGGGTTTAGGGTTCAGGGTTTAGGGCTTAGGGCTTCGAGTTCTTTCAACGCTTCACAGGCTTTGTACGTCTGAGAAGGTTCCGGGTGCAGTTGAAGAATGTCCGCTTCGTCAATCCCGGACATGCGCCGCGAAGAAGGCACCCTCAGCCCCCAAACCACCATAAGCCCCTTGAGGGATTAGGGTTTAGGGTTTAGATCCATAAGCCCCTTAAACCCCCCTAAGCCCCCTAAACCTAAACCCAAACCCCCCTCTAAACCTCCCTAAATCGCCCTAAACCCCCCTAAAACCCCTAAAGTCCCCTTCCCCTAGGCCCGGAACCCTAAACTCTAAACACTAAACCCTACACCGGAAACCCTAAACCCTACACCCTACACCGTAAACCCTAAAACCCCAAACCCTAAACCCTGAAAGCGACAGGTGAAAGCCTTCTTCGAGTCCATCCTGGGCTTCGAAGTCGAGGGTGCCGGGACCTCGGTCTGAGAGGGTTCTGCTTGGAGGTTCATGGGTCCTTAGGGTTTAGGGTTTAGGGTTTAGGGTTTAGGGTTTAGGGTTTAGGGTTTAGGGTTTAGGGTTTAGGGTTTAGGGTTTAGGGTTTAGGGTTTAGCAAACGGAAGCGCGCTTTGGGAGCGCACGGTAGTCTGCAGACCTACCCACCCCAAGACCGCCCACTTACAACTCAAGGAGTTAAGACCTTTTTTTTACAAAGCATCGCATGAGTCAGCACTCACGCCCTTTTGGGGACCCCCGCAAAGTGCGTGGACCAGGCACAAAGCCGCAGCAGGGCCAGGACAAGGCCAGAGGCAGGAAGACACCAGTACCTGCGCAGACGGAAAGGCGAGGCAGGGTCAGCGAAGACAGCTTGGGTTGGCGCGAAGAGGGTATGGCCAGGCATGCGAGGCTTGGTTGGCGCGAAGGGGCTAAAGCCAGAGAGGCAGGGCCAGGGAACACAGGCAGTGAACGCGAAGCGAGTGGACAGCTTGGGTTGGGCAGAGCCACGCCAGGGCAGGCGGACAAGCACAAAACTGGTGCTTGGCGCGAAGGGGGTAAGGTGACAGGGTGCGGGCCAGGGCCAGGGCCAGGGCCAGGGCCAGGCAGGGGGGAGGGTCAGGGCCAGGGCCAGGCAGGGCCAGGGGGCCTCCAATGCAGGACCCACATTGCGGGGCGTTTAGGGTAATATCATATAATACAAGCCAGCCTGGAGGCCCCCTCGCAGTCACTGAGCGCTCGACCAGCGCCCGCCTACCCCAAAGACAAGAGAGTGGGGTGGCGGGCGGGTTTAGGGATTATAAATCTACTTATAACCTACTTGGGGGACTTAGGGGGCATTTAGTACAGTTTTGATTGAGTTATAAGTACCCTGAACCTCCAAGTGTGCTGTTTCATGACCCCCCCCTTGTCAAGCCCAGGGTTAGGTTTAGGGTTTAGGGGTTTAAGGGCTTCGGGGGTTCGGGGCCTCGGGGTTTTTGGTTCAGGGTTTAGGGTTTGGGATTTAGGGGCTTCGGGGATTAGGGGTTTAGGGGTTTTAGGGTAAAGTTTAGGGGTTAGGGTTTAGCGTTTCGGGGCTTCGGGGTTTCGGGTTTACGGGTTCAGGGCTTTAGGTGCTTAGGGGTGTAGGAGTTTGGGGTTTAGGTTCTAGGGTTTAGGGGTTTAGGTGTGTAGGGGTGTAGGGGTGTAGGGGTTGCGGGATTAGAGTTTAGGGGTTTCGGGTTTAGGGTTGTCTTGGTTGCTGTTCTTCATGTAGCTCACGATTGGAACATGTAGGTCTTTCGAAATTGTGTTCAGCCGGGCTGCGACTGCTACAAGTACTTGGACGTCAGGGTACGTATAACCCCAATTATAACTGTACTTATAAGCCCCATTAAGTCCCCTAACTAGGCTATAAGTAGATTTATAATTGTGGTTATAAGTACCCATGAACCTCCAAGTAGCTGGCTGAGGCTGCTTTTGGGGTGCACGAATCACAATTCCAAGGCTTTGCATGAAGGCGGACCACGATTTTGTTGAAGCCTGAACCCTAAACCCTAAACCCTAAACTCTAAATCCCAAAACGTATGGACCCTAGACATTGCCCCCGAAGTTGGAGCAAACTCCCCAGGTGTCGATCGCCTACGACCTCTCCGATGAAGCGGAGTTTGTAGAGAGCCGCGTCCTGCGGGTGGTGGAGCAGGCCAGTTCGAGGGGCTCAGGGATTATGGGGATTATAGGGCCTATAGCGAGTATACGCTCACAAGCTTATAGCCTTTTTGCGGTCCTTGTTATACGGGAATCCTACTATTTGGGGTCTATATTAGGGGTCCCTTCTTTTCGTGAACCCACATATAGCCGTAGCCCCCAAAGGAAATATAATCTAAGCTGCCCAAATAATGGGTTTGAAGTGTATTAGGTAATGCGTTGCCCATTCTAGTTGGACAGGGCTTCATATATCAAAATGTCTACTCTGTGTGTGTGTGTGTGGGAGATTTACGGGATTGGGGTTCTGGAGGTTTGGGCTCTGAAGATGTGAACTTCTAATGCAGAGGTCCCCAAGCCTTCTACTGGTTCAGACCTCAGGTTCTTTGGGGGGGGGGTACCCATTTGGGGTGGTTTGCGGGACCCCATGATGTGCAACCCTAAACCCTGAACCCTGAACCCTAAATCCTAAACCCTAGACCCTAGCTCTGCAGGCAGATGCCCACCTCAGCATCTACCCGGCTGAGCTGGCAGATGTCCGAGAGCTGATGGGCAGCAGCCAGGATGGGCACGTGCCGGGCTTGGTGGCTTGGGGTCTTGGGTTTAGGGTTTAGGGTTTTGGGTTTAGGGTTTAGGGTTTAGGGTTTAGGGTTAAAGGTTTAGGGTTTAGGGTTAGGGTTTAGGGTTTAGGGGTCTCTCTGAGGGTTTAGGGTTTTTTGAGGTTTGGTGGGGGGGCGGGGGGGGGTTGGCATGGGGTTGGCTTCGGGTTTCGGGGTTCAGGACGACGGTTGGGTGAGTATCCAAGGGTGTGGAGTCAGGTTTAATGCCAGGCCTTGCTAGACCCCCAAATATATAGTAGGATTCGTAAACCCCACTTGTAGGCGGCTTCTATGTGGCCGCGCAGGGAAACTGCAAGCCCTGAACTGCTGAAAGTCACAGCCACATGGTTTCCGGGGGAATCCCCCACCCCCTGCAAACGCTAAATCCTGCGTTGAACCCTAGAACCCTACACCCTAGAATCCCAAACCCTAGAGCCCTAAACCCTAAATCCTAAACCCTAAACTCTAAACCCTAAACCCTAAACCCTATGCCTAAACCTTAAATGCTAAAACCTAAACCCTAGAAGCAAGCCAGGTGCTAGATTGTTTGGCCAGCTCGGGGCAAGCCGTGGTCGTCTTCTCCCGGGAGGAGGACCGCGAGTTCTGCATCCGGAGATTTGCCCGGCACTTACAGTTGGCTTGCGGTTTAGGATTCAGAGGTTGGGGTTTAGGGTTTAGGGTTTCGGGTTTAGGGTTTAGGATTTTGAGGTTGTGGTTTATGGGGTTTAGGGATTTGGGCTCTTGTTAAGGAGCTTAGATTAAGTTACCATTGTGTTTTCTATAGACGTTGCAGTGCCCTTACTGTGGCAACTTTGTTTGTAAAACTGACATCCCCTGCGCCCATCGACTCAGACTCGCCGCCAGGCTTCCTAAGTATGTCAATCATGTAGACTCTACGGTTACGTGAACCTGTAGGACCCTAGGACCCGACAAACCTGTAAACCCTAAACCCTAAACCCTAAACCCTAAACCCTGAACCCTGAACCCTGAACCCTGAACCCTGAACAAACCCTCTAAACCCTCCGTAGCAAAGGCCGAAATCCGGCGCCAGCTTCGCCAGAACGAAGGCAAGGTCTCAACCGAGGAGGCGCCCCGTGTTTGCCAGTGAGGCTCGAGATTCCCTGGTTTAGAGTTCAGAATTTTGGGTTTAGAGGGTTTAGGGTTGATAAGGTTTTATAGAGTCTGGAGTCTTTCGGGTTTAGGGTCCCTAGCCCAAAGCTCTTCACAGTATGGACCATGCTGAGGCAGATACGGACGATGAGTCGGTGACCCAGCTCGCCTGGAAAGTGGCCAGCGGCTGCGATGAGGGTATTGTTCGCAAAAGCCATAAGTCCAAAGAAAGTAAACTCTGTGTTTTGCAGTACAACCATGCCTCATTCCTGAGATCATGTTAGTTAATGTACTTTCAAACCCTGTCTAGTATATGACCCTAAACCCAAAACTTTAAACCCTATAAGCTTTAACCCTAAACCCCAGATCCTAAACCCTATTCTTTCCATCAGCAAGTCAGATACGCGCAGCGTCCGAGGTCGCAGGCCCTGCTTGGGGGCTCCAGGCTGGGCGGTTGTAGGGCTTTTTGGGGGGGTTAAGGGTTCAGCGTTTAGGGTTTCGGGTTCAGGGTTTCGGGTTTAGGGTTGAGGGTCTTTTAGAGTTAGGAGTTCAGGGTCTAAAAGAAGCCTGGGAAAAGGTCATCGGGCTTAGGATTCCTACTTCGCCTCCTTAGCTGCTTGCGCTGAGAAGCAGGTCGGGCACCCTAAATACTATACAGTACGGTAGGGTGATATAATACAGTATACTACAATGCAGTATGTAATTTCGTATTCGTACAACAAAAGTAGGGTATGACCCCCGCCCCCCCCCCCCCCCAAAAAAAAAAAAAAAAACAACAACAAAAACAAGAAAAAACGTAGGTAAATAGAGCTCCAGGTGTAGATACACCTCAACCCTAAACCCTAAAACACCCTAAACCCTAAACCCTCAACCCTCAACCCTAAACCCTAAATCCTATTCTTTTTTTGCGCCAGGCCTTCGCAGACCCTTGGAGGCCTCAAGGAAGGCAAGGGGGACGGTTTAGGGTTTAGGGTTTAGGGCTTAGGGTTTAGGGTTTAGGGTTTAGGCAGGGGCATCCATTGGGATGTTCCCCCTGATACTAACAGACCCTTCATAGGGATTATCGTTTCCCCACCCTATTATAATCCCACCCTAACCCTAAACCCTAAACCTTAAACCCATTCTGTACGGTTTAGGGTTTTTGCTTTCGGGTTTAAGATTTAGGCTTTAGGCTTTAGGGTTTTGGGTTTAGGGTTTAGGGAAGTTCCTCAAGCAGTTCCTCTTGCACAGATTCTGTGCCTAAACCCTCAACCCAAAAACCTCAACCCCAGACCCTAAACCCCCAACCCCAAACCCTACACCCGAAGCCCGAAAACCAAGTATAATAACCGAGCCCCAAACGATCCTCCGGGTTCGTCTTTTCGAATTCTGCGACTTTTGGGTTTGTTGGGTTGTGGAGTTTAGGGTTTAGGGCCTGAAGGGGAGCATGATTTCAGGGTAGTCCAAGCCCAGGATGCTCGATGGGCCCCTCTTAGCGTGATAAGGCCTCTCAAGTCATCGGTGAAGCCCTGTGAGCCCTAGCCTATGCACCCTCTAGCCCTTGTATGCCTAGAGATCCTCAACCCTAAACCCTAAACCCTAAACCCCGAACCCCGAACCCGCAAAGCGCAGCCACCTGGAAGGCAGGGGGCGCAGCAGCGCTGCGCGTCTCAGCGCATCGATGCTCTTCCGCCAGGGGGCCCTGGCGCGGAGTCTACAGCCTCCTAAACCCTAAACCCTAAATCCTAAACCCTAAACCCTAAACCCTAAACCCTGCTTTAGGGTGTAGGTTTGATTGCGTAGAAGGGTTTACGGTTCAGGGTTGAGGGTGTTCGGACTCAGCTAACTTGGTGTGCGTCATGCACGCAGAGCTCCCTGCCCAGGTGGAAAGTTTCCGATCACGGTTTCCGAGGACCGCCCCCTGACTCCTAAGCTCCTTGGGGGTTTAGGGTTTAGGGTTTAGGGTTTGGGGTTTAGGGTTTAGGGTTTCGGGTTTGGGGTTTGGGGTTTAAGGTTTAGGGTTCCCTAAACCCAAAACCTGGAACCCAATATCCCCTTTTCGGATGTTCATGTGGGTGAGGCTCCTCATGCATACCATAAGGCTAGAAAAGGGAACTAAGGCGGCCTGTGCTTTTAGGGGCTAGGGTTTGATGACATGGGGGATTGCAAGCCTCCCGAAAGCTTGGAGCAAGTCAGTTTGATTACTTCGGGTTTAGGGTTTAGAGTTTAGGTTTGTCCGCCTCCGGAAGTGGCTCTTTACGCCTCTTCCGCCACAGCTGCCTTCAATGCAACAAGCAGGCCTTCGGATGTCTCGTTGGAAGGTCCCGAGTTAGGGTTTGGGGTTTAGGGTTTAGGGTTTTAGGGTTTTAGGGTTTTAGGGTTTTAGGGTTTAGGGTTTAGGGTTTAGGGTTTAGGGTTTAGGGTTTAGGGCCGACAAATCCACAAATCCTAAACCCTGAGCCCTTAGGGTTTAGGGTTTTCGGTTTAGGGTTTAGCGTGTAGGGTTTAGGGTTTAGGGCTTAGGGCTTAGGGTTTAGGGTTTAGGGTTCAGGGTTTAGTCCCCATAGTCCTATAACGGGCCTTTTTTGAGGGGTTATAGGGTATTATAGCCCATCCTGGCAAGCCCTAAACCATAAGACCGCAAACCCTAAGCCCTGAGCCCCAGGGCGTAGTACGCGCAGGCCCCTGACCCTGCAGACCTCCTGTGGAAGAACTTCCAGGCCGCCAGGGGAAGACGGTTTAGGGTTTAGAGTTTAGGGTTTAGGGTTTAGGGTGTACTTAGGGTTTTGGGCGGGTAACCCAAACGCTGCCAGAAGCAGTGATATTTTAGGTGTTTCGCATCTGAAAATCATACTTTGTAAGGCCTTCGGGGAACTTTTATGGTAAGGATAAGGTATAAGTTTCTATTTCAACTGGGAATTTTGGGGATGTAGGCGCAACGGGCTAGCAAAAGGTACTCTGAACCCGGCTATTCTGGGACGCGGAGCCGTGTGCATGCCGCATGCTATGTATGTATGACCAGCTCATGCTTCTAGCCCCTTATAGTAGAAGCCAAAAAGTTGGAAACTCAATGGCCTCAATCCCTAAGAGTAAAGTATAGGGAATCCCAGCACTATTTGTCCTTAAAGAGGTTTCCAACTTTTTGGGGTTTACTGTAAGGGCCCATGTACCTACATAGTATACTCGGCCCTGAAGCAGCTACATGGAAACCCCGTTAAGGCCCAAGGATACACTATATAGGTACCCGGACCCTTATAGGGAGCCTCTCCCCATGTCCTACGTCCCTGCCAGACCGATTGCACATGGGGAGTTCTCTATATGATCCCCAAACGCGAAGCCCCAACCCTAAGGCCTATGAAGCCTATAAACGCCCATGAAGCCTGTAAACCCTGTAAACCCTAGACTGTATGGAAAGGGGAGCACACCCAGCTCCTCGCCAGGTCCAGGGAGGGCTCAAGCTCACTCGAGTGGCCAGAGCCTCAGGGCAAAAGCAAACCGTCCACCTAATGTGAACAGCTCCCAACAAAAACAGCTTACATAACGTAAGGTCCCTGTATTTTTTTTGGGGGAGGGGAAAGGGGAGAGCTGGGGAGGGGCGGCCCCGCCCACTCCCCTTCCCTGCTGAAACAAAGGCCGCACAAGCAGTTTTGAAGAAGGTATTGGTTTGTCCCCGTGGTTCTTAGTAGGGAATTTGGAAATGAGGGCCCTATATGATCCCTTAAAGGGTATATACATATATGTAGGGCCCTCATTCCCGCCTTCCCTACTAAGAACCAGCCAGTTGTGTTGTCTGGTTTTGAGGTTTGTTGCTTGCATCCTTTCCACCCCTCCCTTGTAAGTTTGGATTTGCTTTAGCCTTCGCAAGCAAACCAGACAAAATTCCCAGGAATGTACTCTTGGTGGTGCGAAGCAGTCATGGCCTCCGCGGTTGCACGGAAATCATAGGCTTCTCTTTCAAGTTCTAAAGACCTCCGAAAAAATGGGTAAAAATCTAGAGCAACAAAGTATTGATTCCTTTCGGAAAAACGAAGCAGTGTTGAAATCGAATTTACAAGCGTGGAGACGTTATGCATGAGGAAATCCGAAGGTATCTAGGCTGAATTTTGGATTTCAAACTTCCAATTGCGATTTTCCGGCGAAAATGTCCAGGAGTCTTTTGCGGATTTCGTGATCGCACAGCCACCTAAATAGACCCTGTACCCTTGTAACAGAACTTTTCGTCCCCGGGCTCGCCAGTCAGATGTACGCCGACAGGAACGCAGAGATAGAACGCTGTGTGAAAGCTTGATTCCGGTCACCCTTGCCAACAAAGCTGTCCTAAGCAGAATTCCTGACCGGAGCGTTCAAGGTAGCTTACCTCCACCAATGTTTGGGATCGAGGGCTGGATGCAAAGAAGCAGGCTACCGTTAACCACTTTCCCAGAGAACGACAGCCTGCTGAGGTTCTCACGCTCATTGGCGGGGTGCTAATGGTCTTCGTGGTTTCAGCAGCCCATAGCCTAGCGCCGGCACGGGATTCTGGATTCGCTCACTGACCAGGACGGGCTATTAGACACTTTTTCCCCCTTAAAAAGGCCCTTTGTAAGGTGGATTATGGGGATTATAGGGCCCCTACACCCTACACCCGACACCCTAAACCCTAAACCCTCATAGCCCATCCTGGGAGGCCCCCATCAGCGTGTACTTAGGTCATCTTTGCGCCATCGGTTCTTGCTGGGGTGAGCTACTTGGACATCACTGGCCCCTCCTTGGCAACTCGGCAGTCGCAAGAGTGGGCAGTTGGGAAGATTGCCCTAAACCCTAACCCCTAAACCCTAAACCCTAAACCCTAAACCCTAAACCCTAAACCCTAAACCCTGACAGGATGGCCGAGGATCATGCGTAGTCTTTCGTAGTCTTTGCGCAAGCAGCAGATGATGAGAATGAGCTGCGCAGGTGTTGGGGGGTTTCCCAAAATTCGGGGTACCTTAATTTGGTCCTTATTCAAAGGGAATCCTATTTTTTGGGGGGGTTTATATTAGGGAGCCCTTATTGTCGTAACCCTAAACCCTAAACCCTAAACCCCAAACCCTAAACCCCAAACCCTAAACCCTAAACCCCGAACCCTAAACCCTAAACCCTCAGATCAAGCTGAGGTACAGGTGAGGCTCAAGTGGCTCGAGCAGGTCTCCATGGCTGGGATGACCGCCGTGTTAAACCGAGTCCTGGTACGCCGACCCGATTGTGCGGTTTAGGGTTTAGGGTTTAGGGTTTTGGGGTTTAGGGTTTAGGGTTTCGGGTTTAGGGTTTAGGGTTTAGGGTTTAGGGTACCCTCATGATGGCCGTGTTGCAACCTATAAGCTCGGAGCCTATGCCGCCTGTGCCAGGCGATGAGCGTAAGATCAGCCGCTGAGGCCAGCGGCTTTGTGCAGAAGGCACGCACCGGGAGCAGACCAGGACGGGCTATTAGACCCTATAGCCCCTTACAAAGGCCCTTTATAGGGTTGATTATGGGGGTATAGGGCTTATTGGACCCTATAACCCCTGAAAAAGGCCCTTTATAGGGTTGATTATTATACCCTATCACCCCTGAAAAAGGCCCTTTATAGGGTTGATTATTATACCCGATAACCCCTGAAAAATGCCCTTTATAGGGTTGATTATTATATCCCATAACCCCTGAAAAATGCCCTTTATAGGGTTGATGATTATACCCTCTAACCCCTTAAAAAGGCCCTTCATCTGGTTGATTCTGGGGATACTAGGGCCTAGCAGCCCATCCTTGGAGGTCTGAGGGAAAGTTTCGGGTTTTAGGGTTTAGGGTTTAGGGTTTAGGGTTTTTGATGGTTTTTTGGGTTGAGGGTTCTGCTCAGAGTTTGCCTGACAGGTGAGTGAGGACAGCGTGTTCTTGGTATGTACATACTTGATGGTGATCGCCAACTCGGCCTTCCCGCCACGCTTCTGGTTTAGGGTTTAGGGTTTAGGGTTTAGGGTTTAGGGTTTAGGGTTTAGGGTTTAGGGTTTAGGGTTCAGGGTTTAGGGTTTAGGGTTTAGGGTTTGCCTACTACAATGTTTTACTTGCGCATGCAAGTGCACATATAGACGCACAGACTCAGACACTGGCATTCGTGCCCAGCGTTTCCTGCATGTACTTGTTTTATCGCCGTTGGTCGGATTACCCGTGCTCCAAACAGCCATTTGCCGACTCTTTTGGTACTAAAATGTCCTTGAGATCGCAGAGGTTCGCTAAATAATTATGAAAGAAAGCCTGAACCCTAAACCCTAAACCCTAAACCCTAAACCGTGAGGGACTCTCGGACTAAGGGAGTCCCAGGAACTTCCGCTGAAATGATGAGTTCTGTTGCTGATTCTTTGTGTGCTCTTGTGCCTCGGCTTTGTTTATGGCGGCTGGCTTTCACCTTAGGATATGCCTAAACCCTAAACCCTAAACCCCTAACCCCCTAAACCTATAGCTTAGGGCTTAGGGTTTTGGGTTTACTCCTTAGACCCCGGGTGAATTGCATGGCTTAAGGGTTTAGGGTTTCGGGTTTAGGGTTTAGGGTTTAGGGTTCGCTGGTGGAAGCGAAGACTGCAGATGCGCAGCTTGCTGAGCTCTTTTTGCCTTCATTCGTTCGAGCACCCCTGGGGTGTGAAATGGGGTTCTGCCTGTGAGGTTTTCTTTTGATGTTTCTTTTTTCGTAAGCAACATAATTATATTGTTCAATAAGGTTCCAAAAAGGGCCCCGATGAAGCCAGGTTGCACCCCTGGGCATTGCCCAAATCGTGGTTCGCCCGCCATGTTTAAAGCCAGAAAGTCTCGCAGTACAAACGTCAGATGTCCGGCCTGAGTCCGTTGGGCAGGTAGATTTTGGGGTTTGAGGTTTAGGGTTTAGGGTTTAGGGTTTAGGGTTATGTTTCGCATGACCATGTGCCCGCATTTGTTCCAGCCCAGGGAAATTGCGCTTCTTCTCCGCTAAGTCAGGCAGCCTCGTCGGACATGCGAGTCACTCCAGAGTTGGCAACAGAAGCTTGGTCGACTTTAAGACTGCCCAAGGTTTGGGTTCTCGTTCCCCCTATAATATTCAACCGTCAACAGACAGGGTGGCAACTGTTGCTGCAAGCGCAAAGAGCGCCAGAGAGAGAGAGATAGAAGGGGCACGCGCGAAAGAGAGAGAGAGAGAGACAAAGGGAGAAAGAGGGACAGCGAGAGAGAGAGAGAGAGAGAGTCAGAAAGACCGAAGCTAAGGGGGATTCAAGATACCACAGCAACCTGCAGCCGTACACCCCTAACCCAACATCCCAACGATCCCTCCCCAACTGCCATCAAGGCTACATGGGGCTTTACGATATGAGCGGTACCTTCTTGGAGTCCTTGTTATATTTGGGGCTCCATATTTGGTGTCCTACATTTTCGTAACCCTGAACCCTGAACCCTAAACCCTAAACCCTAAACCCTAAACCCTCAACCCTCAACCCTCAAACCCTAAACCCTAAACCCTAAACCCTAAACCCTAAACCCTAAACCCTCCCCAATTGCCATTGCCTCAAGTCCCAAACCGTAGGAGTGGCTGCTCAGCTTGATGATCGTGATCCTGCTCACCACGGAGGCAGGGATCCGAGCCATGAGTTTCTGCAGGGTTTCTGTAGGGCTTATAGGGATTATATATGCAGGGTTTAGAGGGCGAAAATATCTATGTTATATATGTATATATCATATCATATATATATATATATTATACATATACAGGTTTTCTGATAGTTGGTATTTGCATGGTGTTGTGATCTAAAGTGTCACGCTACTGCTTCAAAGCCGCTTATACTGGTGGCTCATGCTCACTGCTGGCATCTTACGTGACACTTTGAATGAAAGAAGCCTTTATTAAAGCTGCCCTTCCTAAACCCTAAACCCTAAACCCTAAACCCTAAACCCTAAACCCTAAACCCTAAACCCTAAACCCTAAACCCTAAACCCTAAACCCTACACAGCACCCTCGTGCTGCCCCTTCCTCCCCACCTCAAGAATAGCCGGCGGTCCAGTTTCTCTACATCGTTTACCCTGCCTGGTCCTATTGGAGCGGCCACTTCCGTGTGCGCCAAAGCAAGTGCGCCGGCTGCGTGCATCTAGTGACGGTTCATGGAGTTTCGGGTTAGTTTGGGTGGGTGGAGGTCCGTGTGTTCGGGGCTGTAGTTCTTCACGACAGATCCAACCATGCCCAGCTTGCCAATGCCACAAGGAAGGCTCTGGTTTGGCAACACACGGAACACACTGCGTCAGTCAACAGATGCTTAGCCTCCAATTGCTGTCAGGTGTCTCGTATTGGGTGACAAGTGCGGATGGAGGAGGGTTCCTGTAGGTGCTTCTGTTTAGAACTACAGGAGCAAAAGCAACACCAGAATTCCTGTGACAGACTCAGAAACCATCTGGTGTTGCTTGCAGCGAAGCAGTCTGTTGCACAGTCAGAGGTACATCACCGTTCGCGAGGGTCAGCCGGCCATGGGCTTAGTGGCAAAGACGATCCAGCCTAAAACTTCCGGGATGCTATGCTTGAGGCCCTGACGAGCGCTGAGTTTCCCTTGGCGCAGAGGCTGGCGCTTCAGCGCCACCTGTGTATGTGCAATGCGCAGGAAGTGTTCCAGCAGCCCCGTCCACTCTTGTAATTAGTGGGTCTTCCGGCACGCCACGAGTTTCCCCCAAGCTCAATGTCGGAGCAGGTACGTTGACGTTCTGCTGGTGATGACGCTGATGTTTGTCATGATCGCTATTGATTACAAGTCCATCTACACAATTGGCTCCTGCCTCGACACCACAACACGGTAGTACTTCTCGAATTACGGTTCCTTTTAAAGGGTCCCCCACATAATAATGCACCTGATCAAATGGACCGCCCAAAAGGGGACCCTAATTTAGAGAACTACCCACATGAGAGTTGACCTAGATTGTGGGCCCGATTTTACGCAATGAATTGTTTAGGCGCGGAGTACTATCACCCCCCAAAAAGGCTCCGTAATTTCGAACAGGCCTTTGGGCCAGTATGGCTGTCTAAAACGGAGAAGCAGCCACCCTTTGAGGTTCTGAGATCATCATGCTCTTCTACAGTTTCTACATCTTTTTCATCGACAAGTTCTTTTTCCTGTGCTGCTGGCATGTTTGGGAGGGGCCTGCAAAGGCTGTCCTTGTGATCGGGTTTTCTAAGATGTTGTGTGGCTTTGGCGGATAACAAAGCGCGACGAGTCTGACTACAGGACACTTCTGACTCTTGCACCACCTGAAGACATACAATGACACACCAGGACCGACGAGAAAAAGAAGAAGCCCATAGACATGAATAGGGATTATAGTCGTGCGGAGCGTATCGTCGCAATTGTGGGGCTCCATTTCGTCCCCAGACTATCACAACCCACAGAGCCAATCGTGAAGAGGCGCATCAACCGCCAGACCTACTATGTGAGCTCAAAGCTCGATCTTGCAGCCACTCAGATGCACCAGAGACTTCCTAAACCCTAAACCCTAAACCCTAAGCCCTAAACCCTAAACCCTAAACCTTAAACCCCAACCCCTTGTGTTATCTACCGCACCTGTTTTGGAGTTGTGCTTCCGCCAAGGTACACTACCTTTTCACCGTTCCAATGCGCGAAGCCGAGTGCTCCACTTCCGCCAGCCTGATCGTATACTTAAAGTTATGTGTATACATAATATATATATATATATTATATTATATTATATTATATTATATTATATTATATTATATTATATTATATTATATTATATTATATTATATTATATTATATTATATTATATATATATATATTATATATATGCTACCCCCCCCCCCCCCCAGCGACCTACCCTTTTTAGGCCTTTTTAGGCCTTTTTGACAGCAAAACAACAAAGAAGGCCCAAACATCTCGTAGTTAATCACCGGGTAATGAAGGACAGTTACTGGGACACCCACCTCACAGACCCCGATAAGCCAGCATTGGAAGAATCTACATTTTGAATCTGAAGCGGACAATGCTGTTTTTTGATGTTTAGATCAGTGTTTTTCTATGCAAATTGTGTGTTTCAAGGGCAATTAATGTTTTGTTGAGCAACTAATTTATTTTTACAATTGTGTTTGTACGAGGCAAAGTATTAATCAAATAGTGAAACATTTTTCTTGGTTCTATGCGAATTTAGCTACTAGAGTAATTATTAAGCAAAAAGCCCAATTTGACTCAAGTGAATACTATTTAAAGGAGCATACTCAACCAAGATACGAAATAAACACCATTCTCAACCAAAAACGGCAAAGTGTGCGTTTAAAGTGCAAATACTGTATTTATACAATTGTGTTTGTACTAGGCAAAGTATGCTCTCTGAAAAGTCCACTGAAATACCTTATGTTTACATATTCATGAATCGTTTTTATTTTTGAAATAATCATTTTATGCGAATTTATCTACTAGAGTCATTATTAAGCAAATAGCCCAATTTGACTCAAGTGAATACCATTTAAAAGACCATACCCAACCAAAATACGAAAGAAGCACCATATTCAACCAAAATATGGCAAAGTGTGGTTTAAAGGGCAAATAGTGCTTTGTTGAGCAACTAATGCATTGAAACAGTTGTGTTTATACCAGGCAAAGTATTATTGAAGTACTATCTGCAAAGTCAAATGAAACACCTTATGTTTACATATTCATGAAACAATTTTTTTGAAGTATTCATTCTATGCGAATTTAACTACTAGAGGAATTCTTAAGCAAATAACCCAATTTGACTCAAGTGAATACTATTTAAAGGACCATACTCAACCAAATACGAAATAAACACTTGCGGAAATGGAAACGGTTCTACCTACATAACAATGAGACAAAGATTGCTGAAGTATTCACTAAAGACCACTTATATACTATGTCTGAAAAGCACAATTTGCATGAGCAAGCTTAAAAATGCACAATAATGGAAATAGAAGCGGTTCTACTTACGTAACGATGAAACAAAGATGTCTGAAGTATTCAATACAGACCACATGTATACTATGCTTGAAAAACGCAACTTGCACAGTCAGGCTTAAAAAATGCACAAGAATCCTAGAAAAGTACTTAGTGAAGGCCATGCACAAGCAAATTCGCAAATACATAAAAACATCCAAAAGCGCAAGCTTTTCAGGAGAATCTCTGGTAAAGTTTGGATTATAGGGTTTTGGGGTATTCCTGGACGAGTAGGAGTCACTTTTTAAGCAAACAATTCTAAGCAATAAATGCTTTTTCTCAAGACATGCTTCAGATAATAATCGCATTGATCGCATTTCCCAGGCAAAGATTATCCATGCGAATTGAGCTACCAGAGCACCAAGTAATGGCTGAATAAGGTCTACTACACTTGAGTACAACCAAAAGATGCACTAAACACTAGCGGCTGTACTTACATAATAACGAAACAAATAGTTCTGAAGCACTAGAAAGACCACTTGTATACTATTTCTGAAAAGCACAATTAGCATAAGCACACTTAAAAATGCGTAGTTGTTGCCTCGTGACCGTGAAGGCGAACTAAAAAGCCAAAATACCAAAACCAAAAAACCAAAAATACCAAAACCAAAAAAACCCCAAAAACCAAAAAAGCCAAAACCAAAAAAGCCAAAAATGCCAAACAAATCAATTTTCCGGGACTCTTGGAGAAGCCTCATAGGGATTTCCTGAAAGTCCCGGAAAATTGTTTTTTTTGGTGTTTTTGGTTTTTTTGGTTTTGTTTTTTTTGGTTTTTTTGGTTTTGGTTTTTTTGGTTTTTTTGGTTTTGGTTTTTTGGTTTTTTTGGTTTTGGTATTTTTTATTTTTCTACTGTCCCGTGTATGCGATTTTAGTTGTATTTTAGTCTACGCCCTAGGAAATACGCTATATTGCACACCGAGCTTGCTTGCAGTGCAGCTGGGTGACTTGAGACAAGGCGAAAAAGGGTAGGTCACTGGGGGGGGGGGGGGTACCATATATATATATATATATGCACATGTAGACATATACATACATATGTAAATGGATACAGAATATACTATACATTATACCGTATATAGTCTACTGCACATTGTGGTACATACATATGTACATCGATTAGTTCTTGTTTATTCTATATGTCTAGCGGCGTTGCGCCATGCTCTGCAGTGCTCCGTCGGAGTGCCAGGTTTCTTCTGGCCTGGTTCCCTCTCCAATTCTTTGATTCTTGGCTGCCACCGAATGGCTGGAGCAGATATGCAGCCATGGCTGCAGCGACTGCGGCCCGGTCGACATTTGCAGTGGGGTTTACCTGGGACCTTCTTTACCTACAGATTTGTAGTAACTGCCTTCGTAGGTGTAACCCATAAAGCTGTAGGTAAAGAGTGTACCAGGTGGGGTTTGGGCAGGTGTTGCAGTGCGGCAGAGTTGCACGCATGCGTCTGTACACAACTAAATGGGTGCTGGACCACTTGGAGGTTCATGGGATACTTATAAACACAATTACAAGTCTCCTTAGAACCTACTTAGGGGACTTAGGGGTTTATAAGAACAGCTATAGTTGGGGTCATAAGTACCCCCGAACCTCCAAGTCGATGCAATCCAGGCTGGCACTATGCTGCTGTTCATGGCCACGGTGCGCATATGCCTTGTCCTCTGATCGTCGAGTCGGGTATGCCCTCGGCACTTGTCACGAGAGTGGACTTGTTGTGAGAGTGTCCTTGTATGGGGGTTTACGGAAATTGAGGGACCCAAAAATAGACCCCCAAATAGTAGGATTCCCTGAAAAGAAGGACCCCACTCAGGCCCCAGTTTCGGAAACCCCCGTATGATGAAACAGTGAAGAGGACTGCTCACAGAAGACTTGCCCTCATATTGATGGGCTGCGCTGCGGCCACTGGGACATCTGAGTCCCATTCGGGCACATGTGGGGTATGGGAGACCATGGCCCTAAACCCTAAACCCTGGATCCTAAACCCGTACTGCAGGTGAATGCTGCAATGACCCGCAACGGGAGCTCAGCGATGTGCCATACGTGGAGGCGCGCCTGGCTTTGAAGAAGCCGGACATATTAGTTGAAAGGTTGAGCCCTAAGCCCTAAACCCTAAAAAGGCTTATGTTCGAGGAGTCCGGACGCGGCCAGCTCTAGCAAAGTCAGGAAAATCATGTTGAAATGTTTGTTACTCAACATGTTCAGACACCAGGATGGGCTACTATTCCCGTTAACCTATGAAACAGGCCCTTTGCAAATAGGGTTGACTATGGGGATTATCGGGCCTAGTAGCCCATCCTGGCATGTTTTCCGATCTTGGTTGCTTTTGAATATGTTTCTGAATCGCTTCGGGTTTTGCCAAATTTCAGAAAACAGCTAAAACGATTTTTCATGTCTTCACCTGGGCCAACCAGAACACCCAGACATACATCCGAAAACAAGAGCATACAGAGACAGAGCATAGCAAGTTCAGAAACAGACTCTGCCCAACGCCTCCGGATCAGAAAGCCTGCTGTCATTGGTAACCATTCACCTTTTTGGGTTCTTACGGTCCTTTTACCATCCCAAATGTTAAGGATGCTGGACAACTAAGTCCGTCTGAAAAAAACTTTGCCGGAGCCACCTCAAACTGGCTGACCTGACTTCTCGAGTGACTCCAGTATCCAGTAGTCAGGGTTTAGGGTTTATAATAGGGTTTATAGGGTTAATAGGGCTCTTAGGGTTTTACAGGGTTTTGCAGGGTTTATGGGGTCTATGGGGTTTATCGGTTTTTTGGGGTCTAGTCGGGCTACGGAATCCTCCATCCTAAGCCCCAAACCCCAAACCCCAAACCCTAAACCCTAAACCCTAAACCCTAAACCCTAAACTGCTGCTCGAGGTCGCCAGCATCACGGCCTGCAACTATTTCAACACCAACCACGCCCATGTCCTTCGCACCTTGCACTTTCCATCCATCGCCGAGGTCTCAGCCTTCCCCCGGTGTTGGGGTTTAGGGTTTAGGGTTTAGGATTTAGGGTTTAGGGTTTAGGGTTTAGGGTTTAGGGTTTAGGGTTTAGGGTTTAGGGGTTTGTAGCATGACTGTAAACGAAAGCTGTCCAAGAATCCCGTTCCTGTGGTCGACTGTCGAGATTTTGCAAGCCGGACCGGTAAGTAAACCCTAAACCTTATGATGTTCCCTCTTATACTAACAGTCCTTAATAGGGAGTATAAGCGAGAACATCCCAACCTAAACCTTATAAACCCTAGATTGCATGAAGGTCGTCCCGCCTGTCTACCCGCATCTACCGGGGAAGGAGTATCTGAATGGCCTGGGGCTCAGCCCTGGCGACGGAAGGTCTACGATGGCTCCACCGACAGCTCATGCAGTTTAGGGTCTCGAGTTTTGCACATGTTTCACTACACCCGAAACTATTTTTTGCTGAAGAACCCCCCTTAATTTCCTTGTAAGGGCAATTTGGGGATTATCATCTTGTGTTTTTTGGCGAGGTTCTTAAGCAAATAGTAGTAAACTCCCTGCGAGTTGCCACCGCCACAGGTGGCCAATTTGCCGACCATGATGATAGCGTCCGCGCCAATCCCAGTAATGACTGCACGGTGTAGGGTTTAGGGTTTAGGCTTAGGGTTTGAGGTTTATTAGGGTTTAGGGTCTGGGCACTAGGGTGTTAGGATTTAGGGCGACCCATCACTTCATTGCTGCAGTGCGCATGCGGGCTGCCGTTGGTAGCCCCTTTCTTTGCCTGGAGCCTAAACAGCCCAGGCCCCCAGTTGTAGTTAACCTTGTTCTAATCAGGGTTTAGGGTTTAGGGTTTGGGGATGATAGAATCCTAGATAAACGCAAACCCTAAACCTTAAACCCTTAACCCTAAACCCTAAACACCCTTCCCAAAGGAGAACCAGAGTTGGGGGTCCTTGTCTAGCTGTTACGAACTCGGCAATTCGAAACCCTGTGCACCCTAAATCCTAAACCCTTCGACCCCCCAAGTCCTCTTCTTTGCCCACCCTGTATAAACCCTGAACCTAAGCCCTAAACCCTAAACCCTAAACCCCAAACCCCAAACCCCAAACCCCAAACCCTACACCCTAAACCCTAAACCCTAAACCCTAAACCCTAAACCCTAAACCCCTTTTCTTTGCCCAGATTTGCGGGAGACCCTGATGCTCCTGGCCAAAAGTCCCTTCACAGAGCTTGACACGCTGGGCAACCCACAGGACCATCTTGCGTCGGGCTTGGAGGGGGGGGGCAGGCCTCAGCAAAGCTTTGTTTAGGGTTTAGGGTTTAGGGTTTAGGGTTTAGGGTTTAGGGTTTAGGGTTCAGGGTTTAGGGTTTAGGGTATAGGATGTAGGGTTAGGGTTTAGGGTTTAGGGTTTGAGATGATAACCCCAAGCCATCCCCCAAAGTCCCATCTTCCCTCGACCTTTGCTTTGATCATCATCCATGAGTGAGTCTAGATCGCACTGCCAATGCTTTGGGAAGGACCGTTTGGGATGTTCCCCCTTATACCAACAGCCCTTAACAAGGAATATAGTACCCCCCCATAGTACTCCCCCCCCCCCCCCCCTATTGTCATCCCTAATTAGAGTTGTTGGGCCGTTGTAGGATTTGACCCGCTTCGTGGGTTCTGGAAACCCACCCAGCAGCTTAGTAAGCCCTAAACCCTAAACCCTAAACCCTAAACCCTAAACCCTTCTGCTTGCCTCCGGCCAGGACCTGACCTGAGGGGAGACCAGTCAAGGTCAGTGGTGCACTCATCGGAATATCGTTACTTGGAGTATCATGTTCCCTACACCTGCTGAAGACCAGGTCAACTTAGGGTTTAGGGTTTAGGGTTTAGGGTTTAGGTTTTAGGGTTTAGGGTTAACATTTCCCAGCGGGCCAGACATAGCGTGGTCTTAGGAACCACTATAAGCTCTGTGGCTGTTCTTCACACACTTGGGGTCACTTCGATTAGCTCGTGGATCCTGTCCAGTCTGATGATCGAGAAGCTTCGATCAAGTGGTTCCACAGCCTGTCGAGGAAAAAAGAGATCGCCCAGTAGCCCGAAGCCTCCTAGAGTTGTTGCGCAGACGCACGAGCACGACGGCACAGAGCGCAACATTTGAGAAGAGCCAGACGCTAACCCCTTGTTCAGGAACGTACATGAAGCTTTCAGATTAAGGATTTCTACCACTATGCTCTTTTTCTATGGTAACTTGAAGTTCCGCAACAGGAAGTAACTCAGGGCAAGAGTTCCAGAACGAAGAGTGGCAAGAATGCAAAGATGAGCCCCGAAGACACCACCTCTGAACCTGTTTTTGGTTCCTATATATATATATATATTCTCTGCGAGAGGTTCCGTGCAAGGGTCATCTGGTCAGGGTTTACGGTTTAGGGCTGAGGTGGGAGGGTCCAGGGTATAGTTATCTGGTCCGAGGCGTTCTGGGTATACAGGATTCAGGGTTTAGGGTTTAGGGCGTTCAGGGTTTGGGGTTTATACGACTTATGGGTTGGGGGTATACAGGGTTCAGGGTTTAGAGTTCCGGCTCACTGTAGTGTTTATAGCCCAAGTAAGGAGCATGCACGTTTTTTTCTCAATAGCACTTGGCGCAGGCAATGGGGCCGGTGTAGACAGAGGGCTCAGGTGCTGCTAAGCCCTAAACCCTGAATCCTGTTGGCCCTGTTGTCGGCAAACAACCCTGGGTTACTTTCGGACCAGGCATAAAATCGAACGTGGCCGGATCAAAACGGCGACAAGCCACAAGCTGCATGCAAGCCCACACAAGACATCAATCTAAAAGCACCGCGAAAACCTTGTTATGAATCAGGCAGCCCTCAACCTCGACGTGTTCAGTATACGTATGGAACAGGTTCAAAGTGCAGAGCTTTCAAATGTCGCGTAATCCTAGCGTAGATCTCCAATAACCTGATCCATCCTCGGCATTGAGATTCCCCAGTTCCATGAACATAGCAGACGGATCGCCGAATATGGCATGGCAACGTCTTGGGCCCGGCTGAAGTATTGCATGTCGGGTTTCAGTTGTGCAGCCTGGGTAGGTGCTTGTGGACAGAACCAACATCTCCAGCTGAAACTGAGGTGCAAAAGCTGACTCCCCTTGGCCTATCGCTGCCTTCGCACGCTAACCTTCGTACAGCAGCTGGTTCAGAGGAGATAGACATGCGAGCATGGGGTTGGGAGGCCTGTATCAACATTGTCAGCATGGGCCTTTAGAGAGCCCCCTGCTTCCTATGACATATGAGGGGAAGGTGCTTCAGTGAGCGGCACGTTAGATGGCCCAGGCTTAGGGGACTTCCACCTTACGCTCCGACATTTCTCTGGGGCGCTGCCCATCTCTCCCTAAGCCGCAAGCTTTGCGTGCATCTCCACTTAGAGAACTATCGGTGCAGGGGCCACCTCAGGCGAAGGAAGCCAGGTACCCCAGGAAAGGAAGGCAGGCGAAGGTGGAACCGCGTTCCAAACGTACGATGCGAGCGCCTCTCAAGATTTAATTCTAACAGATGACTGCAAAACACGGCAGCCACGTCCAGCCACGAGAAATGATTGCGAGGAGCCACTCGCAGTGCCTTCCAACATGCTGCATTGGCTACCAGGATCTGCTGTTTGGGCCTTAAAATCGTCAGAATCAACCGTATAATGGGCCGTTGTGAGGGGTTGTATAGGGTATAGTGGCCCATCCTGGCTATAGCAATCTGCTTGGCGACCTTGAAGGGATTTCTTGCGGCGGAGTGGCAATTTTTCTGAGCCGTCCATGATTTCAGGCATCTCCCATGTGACTTCAAGCTGAACGAGTGACAGAGCACAAATTTGTGTAACAGGTCAAAACCTTGCATGTTTGCAACCCCCCCCCCGCTGGAGGGTGTGCGGGGGGCGAAACCTTGTGCTGCAGCATCGATATGGCACCGGGCAAGCCCGTCAACAGCCCCCGGACTCTGGCAGCCAAACCCCTAATCCCTAAACCCTACTCACACGCGGGGGACAGTCGGCAGAGTCAGCCGAGTCAATGTCGCGGCGTCCAGTAGCGACCTGTGCATGAGAGGGGCGCAGAGTCGTCTTGGAGGTGCCGGTGACCTCTGCCTTCGCCTGTTGAGGCCAAAAAAGGCGGTCAAGCGAGAACTGACACTGAAACCGGGACGCGCGAGGGGGCGCCGGTGTTTGCGCAACCTTCCTTCTGCAGGTGCCACGTCAGCTCCTTGAGCAGACAGCCTTTGAATTTCCGCAGATTCCCACCATGCTCGGGAGACGGGGCTCGATGCGTCACGGCCCTCAGTCGCATGCAAGTGCAACACGTGCCAGCTCTCCAAAGGGTGCAAGGAGGCCGGGCCGTAGGAGGCTGCGCTTCGTTGGAGCTCGATGATGGCCAGCAGATTTCCCTTAAGCGCCAGGATCCACGGGCTCAGGATAGGCGGGCTGTGTCCAGCTTTGGGATCAGGTCTGGTTGCGTATATATAGCTGACTTGAGAGACAACTGGGCGATATAGCCAGACAACCGCAGCCCCAAACCATAAAAGCCCCTAAGAGCACGACCCTGAAAAGCGCAGTGTGGCATTCTCTTGGTGTCTCCCGGCACGGCCGCTCTCCGCAGGATCCTCACGCTATAACCCTTCCCATGCCCATTTCCCAGGACCCTAAAACCCCTAAACCCTAAATCTTAAATCCTAAACCCTTAAAACGCCCTTTACAGGGTTGATTATGGGGATGATGGGGCCTAATAGCCCATCCTGGTAGGCTTAGGGTTTATAGGGGTCCATGCCCAGTACGACTGCTACCGCAGCAAAAGGCCGTTTGCCATGCAACGTGCTTCCCGCCTGCCCATAGTTGTCCCTGGCCCAGCTCCTTTAAGTCCTACACAGTCGCCCAGGCGCTAAGACCCTGTGCAGGGTCTGGGCTCTTCTCCGCAACAATTCGGAAGCTCTTAAGTACGCTACTGTATGGCCCTAAACCTTAAACCCTAAACCTGGGACCCTGAGCCACAAGTCCGTCGCAAATCTTTCTGAAGCCCGTAGACTATACTCATGGGCTACAGTGTCCTATGTTGGGGCCACAGTAGCCTCTTCTTTCCGGTAACTCGGCGTTTAAGGTGCTCCTTAAAACGGCCCCTCTTGTAGGGTTGCTTGTGGGGGCTCGAGGGCCTCATGAGGCCCATCCTGTTTGAGGCCTCTCGGGTATCTGCAGATCTTTGAGGGCCAGCTTACTCTTGCTCGCTCGGGCAGCGTGCAGTGGATGGGGAAGTTTCAGTCCCAGGGTTTTTGCCAAAACTGTCGGGCTTGGGGCTTTCTCCCTTAAGGCTGGTTCTCCGTGTGTGCCCCTGGAATATGGCTGTTTCAGCCACAACTGCTGCAAGGCTTCGAAAGGCTGCTTTTGTGGGCAGCGTCGATCACTAATTTGTGAACGCCCAGTGGAGCCATGTACCACTGAAGTTGGGTTTTTGTTGGGCTTACATCAAGCCAGTTGGGCTGGGCTTCGGTCTGAGCTATGGTGGCTTTACACCGTCTGAGTGACCGAGACCTTTTGGGTCTCAGGCCGCGAGCTCTGTACGTGGTGTCGTCGGTGGCCAAGGTGCGCTGCTCCTAAACCCTAAACCCTAAACCCTAAACCCTAAACCCTAAACCCTAAACCCTAAACCCTAAACCGTGATCCCGCTCATGGCAGCTGTGGCAGTGCTGCATACCCCCAAGAGTACGGCCGTAGCAAACGCCTTATAGTAGCATCGAAAGCAGCATCCCTGCCAAAGGAAGCTTTTGATTTCAGCTAAGCCGATGAGTTAACCTGACGCTTTTGGCCTTTGTCCGGACGGCCTTGTCAGGCGTTCTTCGGCCTAGGGCTGCCCTTGACATCTGCGTCCAAGCCCTTCCATAGCGTGTTTTTCTTTCGGTGCTTGCTGGCTCTCCACCAAAGGGCCGACGTCATCGCCAATCACTTACTAGGTGTCTGCTTGGAACATGTAGTTCCAGCGACCCAGCATAGATCCCAACGCATGGGCTCATAGAGCTTTCCCCGCAGCGAGAACGCTGAACGCCCCTGTGTTGAATAGAATATTCAAGGAAAGCAGTCGAGACTGCAACCACACAATTCTTGCGCCGTGTTTTGCGAAGGGGTGATGAATAAGCAAAGACGGCCATGCGGTATCCTGGCTGAGATAGCGCGTGAAGTCAGCCAAACGGATGGAAGAGTCTAGCTCCAGATCCACGTCGTGAGCTTTGCTGCTTCGTGCTGCGCTCAGTGACACGGCCAAAGTCCTGAAACCGCCGAAGTGGTGTCCGTGGCGATCTGGGGCAAACGAAGGTCGTGAGCTCACCTCACCGACAAATATACAAGGGGGGCGCATCAGTTTGCCATGGGGCTGCTTGACAGTCGCAGGGGTTTGTGTCACCCCTCCCCCACTTTCGCAGAGGGTTCGTGTAAGCCCCTTTCCCTTCGCGTAACCACCTTGCCCTCAGCATAGCTTCGCGAACTCTTCGTATGAGTAACAGCTCAGCAGTTTGCCAGGACAGCTGTTTGAGGTTCACGAGTGTTTATGGAACATGTGGAGCCTTACCCGCCCTGCAAGGGTTCGCGCAACCCCCCTCCTTTTGCAGAACCCTTCGTCCTTTCGTGCAGACCCGCGCGACCCCGCAGCCCCTTCCGTTTCGCCCTTATAAGGACCACTCAGGGGAGGGGAGGACGCGGAACTTCGTGAAAATTGTGCGCCTTCATCCAAGCTTTGTCGAATACAGCCTTCGTATCTTAGGCCTGCCTAATCGGAAGGCTTCTGACTGACAGCTGAATGAGCGTCAGTGTTATACGGCGTTTGCGGTTTGGTCAGCGCATGTCAGCATTTCGGGCTGCTTGTCTGGGTCGAAATCCAGTTTAAAGGACACAGGACTGCCATCACTGCATACAGCCCGCCTGCCAGGATCTGGACGTACTTGTGCGGGCATATGGCAAGCACGCTCAACGGTCGGAGCCACAATGCTGGCAGAGTATGACAGACGCCAGCAACGATGAGCCCTGGTAGCATGCTTCTCAAGGATGGAAGAGTAGTAGTGCTGGGCCCCGTAATTGTGTGTTCTGACTTGCAATCTCGGCTGAGGCCTGCCCAGACATGCAAAAAAGCAGGATGTTGCTTTCGCGCAGCAGGGCTCACTTTGTGCAATCTCTGGCCCGTTCTGCCGAGCCGCTCGCCTGAAACGGCCACCTGTGAGATCTTGCCAGCAAGCTACCGGGGTCTCCGAGCGAGCAGTTTGCACAGTCTGAGGTGCGGAGGGGCCAGCCTCTATAGCCAGCGCGACGACCTCGTTGCTCGCGCAGCGTGCCCTCACCGTGCCGCGCCGGATGTGCCATAATTCGGCTCGCCTCGGTTACACGGCGGTGCAAGGAAGGTTCCTGGCAGTAGGCGTCATGGTGCGTCGTGCTCCCATGCATGTACAGGTATCTTTGCAGCAATCTTTTTCGGCTCAGGATCTTCTGTTCCATGTCAGAAGCAGGGACCATGCGGCAAACGCAGTGCGCTGACTGCTCTCATCATCGTCATGGTGGAGTTCGTGTCAGTGTGCTGACCTGTGGCGCGCGTCGGTCATGTCGAGTGCTTTGGGAACATCTTCCAAACTTCGAAGCTCGCTGCAAGATGGTGCCGGGGGTCGACGCGTGCTCTCGTCACCCCGCGCGTCGTTGTCTTGCGGAGAGCCCCTGCGTGCCAGCGCCGGGCCCCTTGAGCCAAGCGCCAGCCGGGCTTCTTTTTGTGTTAAGAATCTGCTGGGCAGCGTGTGCGGGATGCTGGGATGCCCGATCACGTTGACGAAAGTTGACGACCCGGGCAACGTTTTGCCAGAAATGCGTGAAAGAATCACAGCGCGCTGAGCCGGCGCTTGCTGCTGCGCTGAGTGATACGGCCAAGGTCCTGAAACAGGCACCGTGGTATCAACGTCATCCGCTCGTTCGGTGGTCGCTGCCAAGCATCAACCACAAGCGCCCTCGGAGATGTCTGTCTTGGTGGTCGAGCTCTGCTCTTCATGTTTCTTGTGCAGCTGAATGAGTGCTATGCTGTGTGGTCAGCGCCTTGTTTGCTAGTTGTGCCGGCTTCATTCTGTCACAGACAGACCTGCGATCACGGGAGCCGAAGCAAGCTGGCAGACAGCCGGGCTGTGAGTAACAATAAGCACCCCTTTTGAAGGAGTTATACGGTATCATAGCCCATCCTGGTAGCGTGCTGTTGAAGGACGCAAGAACATAGTGCGGGGCCTGGACCCAGCCACCGACGTGCAGTAACTCGCTCAGCAGAGTTGTGTGCCTCCCGACGTGCAAGCTCGACAGAGGCCTGCTGTTTTTCAGGTATCCAGTGTATAAACGGCTTAGGGTTTAGAGGGTTTATAGTTTATAGGGTTCAGGGTTTAGGGTTCAGGGCAATTAGGCTGCAAAGTCTCATCCTGCAGGGTGCAGAACGCAGTGCCCTGCAAGGAGTCCTCTCTCCAGACAGACCGCCTTGCTCCGAGCTACGAGAGATCTGACACGTTCGCAGGGAGGCTTGATATGCAGCCCGCATGCGTGGGTTCGCTGGATCTTCCTGAAGCGCAGGGCAGTGTCGGCTGCAACGCCAGCATTGGAGTGCACACCTCGCAGTTCAGGGCAGCGGTATGGCACCACCTGGAATCCAAGCACCTGGGGCAAATCCTGGCAACTCGCTTGGCGTAGCAACCATGGTGCAGAAGCCGCAGGGTAGCTCTGTGCCCTCACTCACACCTTGTTACAATAAACCCTTCCGCCAAAGCAAAACGACCAGGCTTGATGGGGCTCGCAGCAGCCGATCCTGATGTCAGTCTTCCATTCTGAGTCCGGTCCAATTGTTGGGTGTTCTGCTTCTGGCCCATGTCATATTCGCAGTCACGGCCGTCTCAGCCACTTCGGCATGCATCAGAAATTAGTTGTGGCGGTACTGGGTCCGGGCCCACCAGCAGTGCACAGCATTCCAGTGCCGCCCGCCTTCCGTGCACCACGAACTGCATCCTTGCTGCGGCTGCCTTGAACACAGGGTGCCCTGTTCGATTTGTGCTGCCTGTTCTCTGCGAAGTCTAAGAATCTTCTGGGCCTCTTGCGTGCGAACTCCTGTCTTTGGCTGACGGCCTAGTGATTGTTGAGCCGGGCACTCGCAACACTGTCTCATAATGTGGCACTTCTGGCGCGGCTCCTCGAAACGGCCCACAGGACCCGCAGGTCCTGAAACCTCAAGCCGGGTGGCATCCACGTGGGTGACTCTTCGGCTGCCGCGCATTATCAGCCGGCAGCGCTCCCAGTAAAATCCATCTTGTTGAGCGAGCTCGTGAACTCTCCGTACTTTGCGCAATCTCCGGCGCCCGTTCTGAGCGAGCCGCTTGAAACGGCCACCTGTGAGATCCTGCCAGCAAGCTACCGGGGTCTCCGAGCGAGCAGTTTGCACAGTCTGAGGTGCGGAGGGGCCAGCCTCTATAGCCAGCGCGACGACCTCGTTGCTCGCGCAGCGTGCCCTCACCGTGCCGCGCCGGATGTGCCATAATTCGGCTCGCCTCGGTTACACGGCGGTGCAAGGAAGGTTCCTGGCAGTAGGCGTCATGGTGCGTCGTGCTCCCATGCATGTACAGGTATCTTTGCAGCAATCTTTTTCGGCTCAGGATCTTCTGTTCCATGTCAGAAGCAGGGACCATGCGGCAAACGCAGTGCGCTGACTGCTCTCATCATCGTCATGGTGGAGTTCGTGTCAGTGTGCTGACCTGTGGCGCGCGTCGGTCATGTCGAGTGCTTTGGGAACATCTTCCAAACTTCGAAGCTCGCTGCAAGATGGTGCCGGGGGTCGACGCGTGCTCTCGTCACCCCGCGCGTCGTTGTCTTGCGGAGAGCCCCTGCGTGCCAGCGCCGGGCCCCTTGAGCCAAGCGCCAGCCGGGCTTATTTTTGTGTTAAGAATCTGCTGGGCAGCGTGTGCGGGATGCTGGGATGCCCGATCACGTTGACGAAAGTTGACGACCCGGGCGACGTTTTGCCAGAAATGCGTGAAAGAATCACGGCACTCTGAGCCGGCGCTTGCTGCTGCGCTGAGTGATACGGCCAAGGTCCTGAAACAGGCACCGTGGTATCAACGTCATCCGCTCGTCCGGTGGTCGCTGCCAAGCATCAACCACAAGCGCCCCCGGAGATGTCTGTCTTGGTGGTCGAGCTCTGCTCTTCATGTTTCTTGTGCAGCTGAATGAGTGCTATGCTGTGTGGTCAGCGCCTTGTTTGCTAGTTGTGCCGGCTTCATTCTGTCACAGACAGACCTGCGATCACGGGAGCCGAAGCAAGCTGGCAGACAGCCGGGCTGTGAGTAACAATAAGCACCCCTTTTGAAGGAGTTATACGGTATCATAGCCCATCCTGGTAGCGTGCTGTTGAAGGACGCAAGAACATAGTGCGGGGCCTGGACCCAGCCACCGACGTGCAGTAACTCGCTCAGCAGAGTTGTGTGCCTCCCGACGTGCAAGCTCGACAGAGGCCTGCTGTTTTTCAGGTATCCAGTGTATAAACGGCTTAGGGTTTAGAGGGTTTATAGTTTATAGGGTTCAGGGTTTAGGGTTCAGGGCAATTAGGCTGCAAAGTCTCATCCTGCAGGGTGCAGAACGCAGTGCCCTGCAAGGAGTCCTCTCTCCAGACAGACCGCCTTGCTCCGAGCTACGAGAGATCTGACACGTTCGCACGGAGGCTTGATATGCAGCCCGCATGCGTGGGTTCGCTGGATCTTCCTGAAGCGCAGGGCAGTGTCGGCTGCAACGCCAGCATTGGAGTGCACACCTCGCAGTTCAGGGCAGCGGTATGGCACCACCTGGAATCCAAGCACCTGGGGCAAATCCTGGCAACTCGCTTGGCGTAGCAACCATGGTGCAGAAGCCGCAGGGTAGCTCTGTGCCCTCACTCACACCTTGTTACAATAAACCCTTCCGCCAAAGCAAAACGACCAGGCTTGATGGGGCTCGCAGCAGCCGATCCTGATGTCAGTCTTCCATTCTGAGTCCGGTCCAATTGTTGGGTGTTCTGCTTCTGGCCCATGTCATATTCGCAGTCGGCCGTCTCAGCCACTTCGGCATGCGTCACAGAAATTAGTTGTGGCGGTACAGGGTCCGGGCCGATCAGCCGTGCACATCGTTCCAGTGCCGCCCACCCTCCATGCACCACGCACTGCATCCTTGCTGCGGCTGCCTTGAACACAGGGAGGAGATGCCCTGTTCGACTTGTGCTGCCTCTTCTCTGCGAAGTCTAAAAATCTTCTGGGCCTCTTGCGTGCGAACTCCTGTCTTTGGCTGACGGCCTAGTGATTGTTGAGCCGGGCACTCGCAACACTGTCTCATAATGTGGCACTTCTTGCGCGGCTCCTCGAAACGGCCCACAAGACCCGCAGGTCCTGAAACCTCAAGCAGGGTGGCATGCATGTGGGTGACTCTGCAGCCGCTGCGCAACATCAGCCGGCAGCGCTCCCAGTAAAATCCATCCTGTTGAGCGAGCTCGTCACCTCTCCGTAGTCACTTTGTGCAATCGCCGGCCCGTTAACTGCCGGGCGAGCCGCTTGCCCGAAACGGCCACCTGTCAGATCTTGCCAACTACCCGGCCCTCCGAGCGAGCAGTTTTTCACCGTCTGAGGTGCGGAGGGGCCAGCCTCTAGGCCAGCGCGACGACCTCGTTTCTCGCACCACGTGCCCTCACTGTGCCGCGCCGGATGTGCCATGACTCAGCTCGCCTCGGTTACACGGTGGTGCAAGGAAGGTCCACAGTGCAGGGCGAAACCACATGTCAGTGTTGAGCTATATGCAGGCTTGGCGGTGCAGTACCCTCCCTAGGTAAGTTGCTTGGACCAACTTCGCGACACCAGTGAGCGGAGCATTGGTGGGGCGGCGCTAGCCTAGGATCAGTGAGATGCTTGCTCTGAGCATCGCGTCGGCGTACTAACGGCCCTGTGGCGCGTGTCGAGCACTCATCGGGAACTCCTTTGGCCTGTGCGAGGTGTGGAGCTCTCAAGGAAAATGGTGCCAGGGTTGACTGCCCTTGTCAACCCACTTGTCAACCCAGCCACTCAAAAACTCCTGTCCGAAAACCCCACGAAGCCTTGTCAGGAGCCCCGTGCACTTGTGTGATGTCAGCAGAGGGGCATGAGGGGCTTCGGGTGCTTCTGTAATCTTCGAAGTTTCCTGTGCACTTGCAAGGTGCTTGAGCTCCCTTGACGAGACAGGGCCTGTGGGGTCCACTGGTTGGGTTTCGGGTTGAGGGTTTAGGGTGCCTGCACCCGGGGGTGACTAGTCGTGTGATCCAATCACTCGACCCTCTGGGTGCATCCGGCACCATGACTCGCCGCAGCAAGAGACAGCGCCTCTGCAACTGTCGCAGGACGATTCTTGAGTACTGAGCGATTGGGTTCCAGGATGGGCTAGTAGGCCCAATAATCTCCAAAATCAACCTTATAAAGGGCCTTTTTAAGGGGGTGAAAGGGTCAGCCCGTCCT